GCTAGGGAGGATTATTACGAATGAAGAATAACCATGGCTAATTTCAGACCTGGTCATGGAAAGGAGGGTATTTTCAGCAAGATGCTTCCCAGGGAGGAGGAGACCCCAGGTTCACTTATGCAGGTCTCTTAAGTAGAACCAACTCAGAGGCAGTTTTCCTCTCTAAAAAGACCCACGCCCTTGGCTGTGAGAATTGTGCTGGACTTATCTGCAGGTAACTGCCAATGCCCGAGCTAGAGCATCTGTGTCCCCCCCCCCCCCCCCCCCCCCCCCCGTCCCAAATATTTTCCCTTTCTCATCGATCATGCTCTCGGCAGAACACAAACCTTCGCTCATGCCTGCCATTTTCGGAAAGCCCTCCTTTGGCCCCGTGTCCTTTCTTCTTGCTGCCCCGTGTCCCTGCTTCCCTTCACTGGCTTCTCCAAAGAGTAGGCTGCACTTGCTCTCCTCAGGTCCTCATCCCATTTGCTCTTTCAGCCTTTTCATTTGTTCGTTTGTGTTTTTGGTGCTATGTTTTTTTTTAAAGATTTTATTTATTTATCTTTAGAGGGGAAGGGAAGGAGAGAAGGAGAGAAATATCAATGTGTGGTTGCCTCTCGTGAGTCTCCTGCTGGGAACTGGCCTGCAGCCCAGGCATGTGCCCTGACTGGGAATTGAACTGCGATCGTGTGGTTCGCAGGCCCGCGCTCAATCCACTGAGCTACACCAGCCAGGGCTTGGTGCTGTGTTTTGAACTGATGTAACAGCCCAGAGAGAAGAGTAGAATGAACCTCCAGATACTTCTTCCCGAGCTTTAACAATGAACTAATTTTGTTTCACCTGCATCCTTATCCACACCTCCTTTTTCATACTCTGCAGTGAATTCCATATACCATCACTTTATCTATAAATTTTTCAGTGTGTATTCTAAAAGATAAGAACTCTTATGCCATGACCAATACCTTAAAAAATGATTTTTAAGTATCATTAAATGTTCAATCAGTTTTGAAATTTCCACTTGTCTCAATTATAACTTTAAAAAAAATTTCTTCTTTCCTTTTTTTATATTTTATTTATTTATCTTTAGAGGGGAAGGGAAGGAGAGAAATATCAATGTATGGTTGCCTCTCGTGCATCTCCTGGGGGGAACCGGCCTGCAACCCAGGCATGTTCCCTGACTGGGAATCGAACCGCGATACTCTGGTTCGCAGGCCCGCGCTCAGTCCACTGAGCTACATCAGCCAGGGTTCAATGATAACTTTTTAACACTGAAACAATTAAAGTAATCTGTTTATTGCATTTGTCCTCTGTCCTCTCTCTCTCTCTGTCTCTCAATCTCTCTTCATCTTCCACTCACTTGTAATTTGTTCGTTGGAGAAACAACGATGCTTGTTCTTATGTTTTTCATAGTTTGGATTTTGCCAGTTACATCCTTGTGATGTAGTGTACTGTGTTTCTCTACGCTCTGTATTTCCTCAAAGTTGGTAGCTGGATCTAGAGGGTCGATCAGACACAGGTTTGATTTCGGGGATGTGAGGCCAGGACTACTTCAAAGGTGGTGGTAGGATCTTTTCTGAGGGCACTTATACAGTCTGTTTCTTTATCTGTTTGAGATGCTAGTAGCTGTTGATGATCAATGCTCATATCTATTCATTCATTAAGGGTTTCAAAATGGTGATACTTGAATCTTATCATTCCCTTTTCATTTATTAGCTGGAATGCCCTTTAAAAGTGAAATTTATCTGTGTCTACTATTTGGATACCCAGTAGTACAATTTATATAGGAAAAGGAGGATAAGTTCTTTTTTAAAAAATGATTTTATTCATTTGTTTTTAGAGAGAAGGGAAAGTAGGGAGAAGAAGAGAGAGACATTGATGTGTGAGAGAAACTTAGGATCTGATGCTTTTTCACATGTCCCCAACTGGGCCTGCTGGGCAACCCATGCATGTGCCGTGACCGGGAATTAAACCTGCCACCTCTCAGTTTGCAGGACAAAGCCCAACCCACTGAGCCACACCAGTCAGGTGGCAGGATAAATGCTTGATTCTTTTATTTACTACTCTCAAAATAATAATTTGGTTCCCTAGCATCTCCTAATCTGATCTTGAGTTATGACTTTTTCACAAAATAAGTATCATTATGAACTAATGTATTTAAACATACTGGATGTGTTTCAATCCACTGTAGTTGTTACCCACACTGATGCTCAGATTCTCCCATTCCCACTGCCTCTAAACTGACTCCAGTGATTGCCACCACTCCTGTCAATGTCACCACTGGCCTCCACCTCCCAAGATCCCACAGTCAATTCTGAGCGCTCATTTAAAATTTTAAAATAATTAGTTCAGTAGCTCAGCGGATTGAGTGTGGGCCTGCGAACCACATGATTGCCGTTCGATTCCCAGTCAGGGCACATGCCTGGGTTGCAGGCCAGTTCCCAGCAGGGACTCAGGAGAGGCAACCATACATTGATATTCCTCTCCTCCTCTCCTTCCCTTCCTCTCTAAAGATAAATAAATAAAATCTTTAAAAAAAAATCTCTCTTCTAAAAAAAACAAAAAAATTAGTTCACATACCATAATATTAACTCTTTTAAATTATACAATTTGGTGAGGTTTTTTTTAGTTTATTCACAAAGTTGTACAGTCATCACCACCCTCTCATCCCAGAACATTTTCATCACCTCACCCCAAAAACCTCAGACTCATTAGCAGTTACTCCTCATTTTCCCCTCCCTCAGCTTCTCCTCATCGTTCACCCACTTTCTGTCCCTAAGGATTTGTGTGTTCTGGACATTTTACACAAATGGAGTTATACAAAATGTGGCCTTTTGGCAAGATCAGGCAATACCACATTTCTGTGAGGATAAACTGGGAGGAACAACTGGGGAGCAACCTAGGGTTCCAGTGCGGGGAAGTAAAGCCTCAAAACCTCTGGCTGTAAATACCTCTGAAAGTTTCAGTGGCGGGAGACACTCCCAGCTTCACAGTAGAGTTCATTGGAGAGACTCACGGGGTCCTAGGATATACACAAACCCACCTACCTGGGATCAGCACCAGAAGGGCCTAATTTGCTAGTGGGTATTAGAGGAAGTGACTGAAAGGTGACGCAGAGCTGAACAAGCAGCATTGTTCCCTCTCAGACCCTTCCCCCATAGACAGCACCATAATGCAGCAATGTGGGTTGCCACAGCCTGGGAAATACCTAAGGCTCCACCCTCTATAATGTAACTGTCTTGCTGAGATCAAGTAATATGGCCCAAGTGAAAGAACAAATCAGAATTTCAAAAATAGGACTTAGCAATGAAGAGATAGCCACCTATCAGGTGCAGAGTTCAAAACATTGGTAATCAGGTTGCTCACAGAATTGGTTGAGCATGGTCAAAAAATGGAGGAAAAGTGAAAGTTATGCAAAGTGAAATAAAGAAAAATATACAGAGAACCAACGGTGAAAGAAAGGAAACCAGGACTCAAATCAACAGTTTGACCAGAAGGAAGAAGTAAACATTCATCCAGAACAGAAGGAGGAAACAAGAATTCAAAAAAAATGAGGAGAGGATTAGGAACCTCTGGGACAAATTTAAGTGTTCCAACATTCAAATCATACGGATGCCAGAAGGAGAAGAACAACAGCAAGAAACTGCAAACTTATTTGAAAACAAAATGAAGGAGAACTTCCCCAATCTCATGAAGGAAATATACTTCCAGGAAGTCCAGGAAGCTCAGAGAGTCTCAAAGAGGTTGGATCCAAGGAAGCACACACCAAGGCACATCATAATTCCATTAACCAAGATTAAGGAGAGGGAGAGAATCTTAAAAGCAGCAAGAGAAAAGGAGACAGTTACCTACAAAGAAATTCCCATAAGGCTATTAGCTGATTTCTCAAAAGAGACCTTACAGGCAAGAAGGGGCTGGAAAGAAGTATTCCAAGTTATAAAAGGCAAGAACCTACCTCCAAAATTACCCTATCCAGCAAAATTATCATAGAATGGGAGGGCAGATAAAGTGCTTCCCAGATAAGGTCAAGTTAAAGAGTTCATCATCACCAAGCCCTTATTGTATGAAATGTTTAAGGGACTTAGTTAAGAAAAAGAAGATCAACAGTATGAATGGTAAAATGACAATAAACTCACAACTATCAACAACTGAACCTAAAAAATAAAAACAAAAACAAACTAAGCAACCAATTAGAGTAGGAACAGAATCACAGAAATAGAGATCATATGGAGGGTTATCAGAGGGGAGGAGGTGGGAGGAGAATGGGGAAAAAGATACAGAGAATAAGAAGCATAAATGGTAGGTACAAAATAGACAAGGGGAGGTTAACAATAGTATGGGAAATGGAGAAGCCAAAGAACTTATATGTATGAACCATGGACATGAACTAAGGTGGGGAAATGCTGCTGGGAAGGGGGTTGCAAGGCAGAGAGGAATAAAGAGGAGAAAAATGGGACAACTGTAATGGCATAATTAATAAAATATATTTTAAAAAGATGTGGCCTTTTGCTATTATCTTGTTTTACTTACCATGTTTTTAAGGTTTATCAACATTGTGGCATGAATCATGAGTGAGGAGTATTTGATGTGACTGACTTCTGCAGCTCTTTCTCCCTCCCTCCCTCCTTCTCTTCCTTCTTTCCTTCCTTCTTCCTGTTAATAAATTTTTGTTGAACGAATTTTACCTGTTCTGATTCCTTCCATTGCCTAAATTCCTCCCAAGTTGGAGTCTTAATCCTTTTTAAAATAATTTTTGCTCAATCCAGTTTTTATATCAGTCAGTCCACAACTGTTTTAGTTGAGCTCCTTTGACCTCCACTTGAATATGGTCATACTTCAGAAATTCCCCCCCCTGTAATTGTTGGGACCCAATTTCCTCAAGCAATTTACTTTAGGGGCCTAGAATTTAAATAGTAAGAAGTACATTGCTATTTTGGCAGTTGATGTAAGATATATTATTCCTTAATTGTTTCTAAAATTGAACAGTCTTTTCAAATCCAATTTTTACTCATTGAGATGAGCAAAAATGTTACAGGTCTCACTGTCACCACTGCAATAAAACTACTGTGAGGGAAGCACAACCTGTGTCTCAGTGTGGCACTGGAGCACCCTCTTCATTATGTTCCTCTTGCTTCACTGTGCCCTCTCTCGTTCTTCTCCAGTGCTCTCTCCTCTTTCAGCCCTCCTAATACTGGTAAGCCCTGGGGCTCAGGCGTCAGACCTCTTCCCTTTTTTACCCTTATTCCAGAGGGGCCCTCATCCAGTTTCATGGGTTTTCATCCCAGACATATGCCATCAACTCCTAAATTTGTAGCCTCAGCCTGGATCTTTATTCTTCATCTCTTCTTGGACATCAATATGCGTTACAAAAACAACATGGCCAGAGTGGACTCCTGAGTCACCACAACCCCCTGCTTTCCAATTCATTTCTCCTAGAACCACCCTTCAATGTAGATGACCAAAAATTTTGTCATCATGCTTGACTTGACTTCTTATCTCTCACTGCACCTATCAGCAAATTCTGCTGGACTTTACTTCAAAAATCTGTTCAGAATCTAGTGTTTTCTCATTGTCTTCATAGCTACACCCACTTGACTAAGCTCCCATTCAACTGGTTGGATAATTGCAATAAGCTCCTGATTGGTGTTCCTGTTACCACCCCTCTGCAGAATATTCTAAGCAGCTTGAGGGCTCACTTTAAAATGTAAGTCAGATCATATGTCTCTTCTGCCCAAAATTGTTGTGGATTCCCATGTTGGTCAGAATAAGAGCCAAAGTTCTAACAGTGTTGTATTGTTTCTTACAAGCCCTGTGTGATGTGCCCTCCCCTCACCCCATCACACTTACCTCCTGCTACTCTCTATTTTGATTTCCACACTGGTTTGCTTGCTATTCCTCTTATACAACACATATTGTTCTTACCTCAAGGCCTTTTTTTACTCTGTTCTTTCTGCCTAGAATGCTCTTTCTCAATCCTTCATTTTTCAGTTCTATTTATATGTCATCTAATCAAGGAGCTTACTCAGACCACAGTATTTGCAATAGCAACTTGTACCCAACCCTTTCCTCACATTTTCTATGCCACTTTCTCTGCTTTTCTTTTTTCCAAAGTACTAACCTACTGATACACACACACAAGTATATGACTCCACATGTGTGTACATTTGTACCTATACATACCATATGCACACACTTTCCACCTATGCATATATATGCACACATTTTCACCTGTGAATACACATACACACACCTATGTGCACATTTCCACCTACATGTGCATGTATACCTACTTGCTTACTAGTTTATTTTCCTATTACATTCTAGTCTTCCCCACCAGAATGTAAACTTTGTGGATGCTGGAACTTACTTTTGTTCCTTGCTGTATTCCAGTGCATAGAATCATGTCTGGCATGTTGTAGGCTCTCAATATATGTTCATTGAATGAGTGAATGCGTTGTCTACATACTTCTCTCTCCCATAATCCCTCCCTTGGAGACAAGTGACAAGAACAGAAATTTTAAAGCATTATTTTGTTTGCCTTTCGACTGATGTGAGAGGGTAGGAGCCTTCTGTTTTCTTTCTAAAACTCTGGCTGGTCAAGGATGACAGTCCCTCTGAGCTGTGGGCTCACAGTGATTCCAACTGGACAGTGAGCACATCTTTCCCCCCTTTGGTCTCCCGCAGCATCCTTGGGGCATCAGCATTTATACTCATCTGTGAGCCTGACACAGAGCCTTTCTTCCCTCCAGATGTATGGATGCTTGGCTTTTGTGGAGATGCTAAACAAACAAAGGAAGATTATTTTTTGGGCTGGGAGTTACTTCCAAAAGCCAATTATGATAGAAGTGTTATCACACCCAAATAGCTTGAAAACTGGCTTGAATAATTCTGCTTGATACCAATAGAGATGAAAAGAAATTCTAAATGTAGTCCTAAATATCAGACTTTCAGAATCAGAAGAGCATTTCCCTCCTTCCCGCCCCTCCCTTTCTCTCTCTGTCCTTCCTTCTTTCCTCAAATAGAATGTATTTCTCTGGCCCCCTCAAGGGCCAGAGAAATGAGGCAAATCTACAGGATTACACAGATAATTGCAGAATCAGAGCTCGAACTCAGGTTTCCTAATTCTCACTCTTTTGAATACATTTTGCTGCCTTCCCAGTAAACAAGAAAATAATCAGAGAAATGCTCAGTTGAATATCTTGGAGAAGTTGACTGCTTGGCTCTCAAAAAGCTCAGTGCCAGTGGAGAGGTAGCTAGAGTATCACCTATGAGATGGAAAAAATAAACATTTCTTGGTCTTCACCCACTCTAAAGTTTCTTGTTTATCTCTCTAATCCTGTAGATTTCTCCCAAGGCTATTATTTATCTTCAGCTCAAACCATTATTTGCTCATTTGCTTGCATAGAGCTTATATCCTTCTATGGCAAGAGGGGACAGAGAGGGTCAAAAGGAAAATCTGTCATTTAAAAAAATTACTACAAATAATTTTAATGTGTATTAAACATGATAAAATAATAATAGTTAACATTCATTGATCTTATAATGTGTGACACATATAATTATTATACTTTATACATTGTCATATTTAATCTTCATTACCTGTAAGGTAAATACTGTTATCATCACCATATTATGAAGGCACGACTGAAGCTTAGAAAGATAAGATAACTGGGATTAGTTTATGTTCAGTATTTTTTAAAAACTTTTAAAAAATATATTTTATTAATTATGCCATTACAGTTGTTCTATTCCCCCCTTCATTCCCCTCCACCCTGCACACCCCCTGCCCCACCATCCCTCCTTTAGTTTATGACCACCTGTCTCAAGTTCTTTAGATTCTATATTTCCCCTACTATTCTTGCCCTCCCCCCCTATCTATTTTCTTCCTACCATCTATGCTACTTATTTTCTGTACCTTCTCCCCCCTTCTCCTTCTCCCACTCCCCTGTTGCTAACCCTTCATGTGATCTTCATTTCTATGGCTCTGCTCCTGATCTAGCTGTCCTCTTAGTTTGCTTTTGTTTTAGGTGTGGTTCTTAATAACTGAGTTTGCTGTCCTTTCACTGTTCATCTTTTTTATCTTCTTTTTCTTAGGTAAGTCCCTTTAACATTTCATATAATAAAGGCTTGGTGATGATGAACTCCTTGAATTTGGTCTTATCTGAGAAGCACTTTATCTGCCCTTCCATTCTAAATGAAAGCTTTGCTGGATAGATCAATCTTGGTTGTAGGTCTTTGGATTTCATGACTTGGAATATTTCTTTCCAGCCCCTTCTTGCCTGTAAGGTCTCTTTTGAGAAATCAGCTGACAGTCTGCTGGGAACTCCTTTGTAGGTGACTGTCCCCTTAGCTCTTGCTGCTTCTAGGAGTCTCTCCTTCATTTTAATCTTGGCTAATGTAATGATGATGTGCCTTTATGTGTTCCTTCTTGGGTCCAACTTCTTTGGGACTCTCTGAGCTTCCTGGATTTCCTGGAAGTCTGTTTCCTTTGCCAGATTGGGGAAGTTCTCTTTTATTATTTGTTCAAACAAGTTTTCCACTGGTGGCTGTTCCTCTTCCCCTTCTGGTACTCCTATAATTTGGATGTTGGAACGTTTAAAGATGTCCTGGAGGTTCCTAAGTCTCTCCTCATTTTTTCAAATTCTTGTTTCTTCATCCTTTTCTGTTTGGTCATTTTTTTCCTCCTTCTGGTCCACTCGATTGATTTGAGTCCCAGTTTCCTTTCCATTACTATTGGTTTCCTGTGTATTTCCATTCATTTCAATTAGTTTAGCCTTCATATGTTCCTCTAATTTGTGACTAAAATCAACTAGTTCTGTGAGCATCCTGATCACCAGTGTTTCGAACTGTGCATCTGAAAGTTTGGCTATCTCTTCATTGCTTAGATTTATGGGCTCTGGGGCTCTGAGTTGTTCTTGAGCCATGTTTTGATCTGTTTGTGCCTGTTATGTATGAGGAGAGGAGCCTTAGTTGTTCACCAGGGCAGGGCCACCCAGGTCGCTGGTTTGTGATGCTGTATGTGGGGGCGGGGTCAGAGAGGGACAATGGCGGTTCCTCTGCCACTTCCTGCCACTGGGGCCTTTGAGGTCTGTCTTGCTGCTAGCTCCTTCACCGGTTTATCTGCACACTAATGTGTGACTGCGATCAGCCCTCAATGGGTCCAACGCCTTGCACCCTCAGTGGGTCCGCCCGCTATTCCACACCTGGGATCAGCCCACGGCTGCTGGCACACCTGGGTCACGCGCCCGGGTCAGTCTGGTGGATCTTTCCAGCCCGACCCTGCTCTGATGCTGGCTCTGCCCCTCTTACTGGTTTGGCTGAAGGGTTTGTTGTTGTTGGACTTCTGTGTAGTTCAATTTTCTGTGGTTTGGCTGTGTTTTTGTTGCTAAAACTTTGTTGTTTTTAAACTTAGTTGTGGGAGAAGGAGCAGTGCTTCTGCCTATGCCTCCATCTTGGTGGAAGTCTCTGTTCAGTCTTAAAATACATTGTTAATATATCAATAGACAGCTCTTCTGCCACTCACATACTCTTTGTTTCTCTATGCTTAGTGAGTATGGAATTGTATCAGTCTATACAAAGTTTTCTGTTTTTTTTTCACATTAATGGTTTCTAGTGGCAGGGCAATATATTTATATAGATTTGGATAAACAAATCATTATAGATAAATATATAGAACACATGCATAATTTGGAACACTGTTTTTCAACCAGGACCCACAGATTTTCCAAAGGTGCTCCATAGACATGTCAGTTTTTGGATTTGACTCCAGTTGGAATGATTTACAGCATAAACTATTACGCTACGGAGGATGAAACTAAAATATATCTTGTGTTTTCTTTATATTTTTGTGATCCTTATAATAAGGAAGGTTTGGCATCATAGTTGTCTTACATAAATAAAAACATGATTTAATAAAATGGTATTTTACAAAGCTGCAAAACTCTTAACAGGAAAAACAAGTGTGAATCTTCATGATGGTGGGGCAGACTCTGGTTTACAGTTGTGAGTACATGAAACAATGTTTATTCTTGCATTATTTATTCATTATTTGTATCATTTTCCATACAAAAAACTGTAACCCATCCTGTGTGACAGCCAAAGCATAAGCAACAAAGGGAAAGAATGGATCAATTGAACTTTTTTTAAATTACAAACTTCTCTATATC